GCTTCCGCATTTATATAATAAATATGTTCAAGATACATTGATGTGGCATTGGTGCGGCCAGCCTATGTCTATCAAATTAATCTTGAACCACGAATTCGCAGCTCTTTCGCATCTGTATGTAATCTGTATGTATGTTGCGTTTAAGTAATCTGTGGCCGTGCGAAAATTTTAATTTTTTTCGACTTTTTGAAAAATTCCGCGCGACGTGTTCAGGCCAATAAGTCAATGAGTAATTAACGAAAAAAAAAATCCGCTGTGGCAATATGAGAGGAATAAATGGGCTGCCGATTGTCGAAAACTGTCACCAAATATTTGGCCCCATTTAGAAATTACAGTGAATGCTAGAAAGGGGTAGTTTTCGATGCAATTTACAACTTCCTCGCACATTAGCCAAGTCCGTGCTCGCTTAATTTTCAAGCAAAAAATTCGAACAAAAAAGCATTGGAGAGTGCATTCCATTAGCAATAATGTGGTGTTTAAAAAATTGAAATAGGATTATGCATTTAGCCGCTGCTGCATCAAACGCGCGCAAACAGGTAAAAAGTTGATTCAGTGACCTTGAATAAAAACATGGTAGTATTCAAGACGCTGCAGAAAAAAAACTATAGCAGATAGAAGGGTGCTGTCGCTGAGTTTTTTATAGCAAAAAACTTCAGCTACAACATTCATTTGAAACTTTTTGCTATTGGACCATCCCTTTGTGCAGCGTTCTCCATAAACCGCAAATTACCCCTAAAAACCACCCCTAACTAAAAACCCTATGGAAGTACAAGGTCGCAAACTTAATATGTTATTAAGCACATAAAAATGAACCAATCCCCCCCCTCAAAATGTTAACTTCCAATTATGTTGAGGTAAACTTCCTTCATTGCTTGGCCTATTCATCCTATTCAAAATAACAAAATGAGTACGTGTAGCGCATATCTGCAAAATCTGGCAACAGTTCCGATATCAATGTTCAATACCGCATGGTCAAAAATCACCAGACACCGATTTTGTGAACGCAGCTCTACCGGTTTCAGGATATTAGGGCGTTGCAGTAGATTCTACTAACCCTTTAAAATACATGTCGCTTTATAAACTGACACATTTTGCCGATAAATAGGTTTCACAAACACACTAAAATTAAGAATAATATGATCAAATAATTGGACTTCTAGTGAGACCAATAATTTATCTCCGCCTTTTTCAGAGATTCATTGAAATATCCGCTAAATACTTCTCCGGCAATTTGAGTTCGGGGGAGAACAGCTCCTATCCTCCAACACAATCAGGCCTTCATCCATGAGATGTGCTAAAACTGGAGCGCTGTTCAATCTGTTTTTCAGCTCCATAAAAGACTGTTGACATTTTGGCGACCATTCAAAGTCTGTGTTTTTTTCTAGAAGGTTGGGTAATTTCTTGCGCAAATCGTTGAACCATCGGTAGTAAACGCAGAGTTAACTCATGTTTGTTATTTGGTATGGACCAATCTCCTAGGCCTGGACTTTTTCTGGATTTGTTCCAATCCCTCTGCAAGAAACCACATGTCAAATAAGTTCACTTATTTTTGGATTCAATTGAAGGTTGTTACTTCGAATCATGGCAAAAACTCTCCTCGAATTCGACAAGTGTTCGTCGAAATATTTCCCAATTACAATGAAAATATCCAGGGATACCATACATGTCTCCCAAGTTCGTCCTCGCAGAATTAATTCCATCAGTCCAATTCATACAGGCGATTATCAGTTATAAGTTCCATCTCTGCCAATATCCATTTTCGAGATCTAAAATTGAAAACCACCTGGAACCTTATAGAGTGTTGAGGGTACGTATCGTCAAATCCGAGGTAATGAGTAGCTATATTCCTCAAGCCGTCTATAATCTACGCAGCACTTAGTCGAGCCAACCGTTTTGGTGCGTAGTACGACAAGCGACGAATATGGAGTATTAGATAATTCTATGATGTCATCATCTAACATTTTTTGTAGCATGGATTTCGCTCAGTGCTGCGAAAGGAAGGCTTCGTGGTGGTTGGCCAATGTGCGTGGAACTTTCTGTGTTGATGCCATATTCGACCAGATAGTTTCGCTTCGGCCTCCTTTTTCACAAAATCAAAGGCTTTCTTCTACTCTTGTAGCAAGAGCTGCAGTAGTTACTTAGTAAAACAATACTTTATTATACATTGAAATATTTGCTTAATGTTATTTTGAAACTCTTTAAATATTTATCTCAATTATTTTTCATTTAAATCAAGAATAAAGAATAAATTTTATCAAATATAGGTTTGTGCTTAATGTAATGTTGAAATATTTTCTCGTTTGAAATACCTATAATTTGAAGAGAGTATACTATTCTTAAATGAAATGCATGTTTGTTTCAACCTGCCTTCTAGTCGCCTTTGTGCTTTGCTTCGCGGTGCGTTCTCTCCCATTCATTCCATTGAACATGAAGTTGAAGTTTGGTTGAAGGGACACCGAAGGACGCCACGCGACGCTACCTGTGTTTTTACAGTCTTTTTCGTGATAAAATGGATTTTTTGTTGAAGAAATGGGATTTGGAAATGGAATGTTTAATTCCAATATTTGAAGGTAAGTTTCACTCTTCCTACTCTATTTCCGGGAAAAAACAATCAAAAAATTATTAGGCATTGTTTGTGTGGGTGGCCATCATTTAGGTAAAAACTTAAACCGCGTGTTATCTTTCATCATATAGAAGTACCTTATCCAATCTATTTGCCTTTTGCTTTAGGATAAGTTGTTCACAAAGTACCTACATATAAAAACATTATTTTTAATTTTAGGAAATGAAATTGACTTGGACAATGGTTGAACATGAATGATGAACAAAGTAAAGAGCGAATTCCCAAAATATGGAGGTTAGATTAAAATTGGCAAAGAAAATCAATCAGTACCAAAATGGCGTTAGAAGTAAAGAAAATGCAACATCTATAACGGATTTTCCCAACTTGCCAGTGGTATGTGAATAATTAATAAATAAATGTATCTATGATTGTTATTGTACTTATATCACAATTAAAATTTTTGCTATTATTCCATCAGTTTATACCTTTATATATGATATAAATTTTTAAAACAAGAATTTGAAGAATAAAATATACTTCAGAGTAAACTGTGTTTCAATATTAATAGTAAGTACACAGGTAAGTAGTTAAAACAATAAGAGGTTATTTTTGAAGTAAGAATAAGAAATATTTGGAAATAAATTGTAGTTTTTGTGATAACTATAAGTAATTTTTCGAATAAGAATAACAATACTTGATCAACAAATCTACCTTATTCTTGAAACAATTACTAGGCTATTCTCGAATTCGACACTACCGTATTCTGAATATAAGTTGAACTTATTTTCAATTTTTAAGAATAGGGCAATACTAGAATTAAATATTATATTTTCTAGTGGAATAGTGAAACGAATGTATTCTTGGGCAAACGCTACTATTCTTTAATATAGTGGAGTGTTTTTTCCGTGTGTTTTATTCCCACTACTGGAGCATGGTTACACCAGAACATCCCAGGACTCTGTAGTACGTTCTACTACATGATTATAACAAGACAGAGAAAATCTGGAGGGAGTGGGATATTGCAAAATTATAAACAATCACATAAAAATGAGCAGGTGTCAGTCGGTCCTATCCAAACGTATAATATTCCAAAATCCATCAACGCAATATTTTTTTTTAAGGTGAAGATAGGCAGTCAATTTTAAACTAGGATATACACTGAAAAAAAATCGTTCATAATATTGACGAATGGCGGTTGTTATTTTTTTTGTCATTAATTAAATGAAATATTTCATCAATACAATGAATCAGTGTTCATAGCCTAATTACTTCGTTCTTTAATGTAACGAATTTATGTTCATTATTATCATAGAACCCGTGAAATTTTATTTTCCATTGTTCGAACGAACATTTTCATCAGTATAAGGAACTTTCTTTGAAGACCAGTGATTCTATTCCTTAATTTTATGAATAATCGTGCATAAACCACATTCATTGTACTGATGATTATTTCTTGTCCCAAAAAATTTGTTCATCATGCTAATGGAACTTTCTTCATTGTGTCAATGAAGTTATGCATCGAATCAATGACCAAGAGTTCATTAATTAATGAATGTTTCATCAGCTTGACGTATGTGTTAGTGATTTAATGAACGTTTATAACTAACGAACTTTACTCATTAATTTAATGAATTTTATAGTTTTGATATAGACCTATTCGCCATATTAACGTATAGAATTCATTAAACACAACCACACTCCATATTTTTGACAGTATATCGTAAATTATCCGGAAATTATATTTTGTGTTGGTGTTCAATTCAACTCTTTTTGGAAGAAATTCGGAATTCAGGTACTCATTGAGTAGAATAACTTCTTCATTTCGACTCATGCAACGAAGATTATAGTAATTAATTATTAATAGTTTTTAGAAAAACAAGTTTAAAATATTTGCTTGATAACTGTCCATTATTATTTTTTTAATCGGACAAGATATGGCAATTTTTTTGTTCTGGGACTTCTAGACTTAGTTGGGCTTTATTGAAGAGTCGCAAATATTTTTTTTATTTTTTTTTGTTTCGTTTTTTTAACGAGTTACTATAGTATTCGTTGTAGTATACTACAACTTACACAGCTCTAGCAAACCGGTTAACTTCTTAGTTTCTATTGGAAGGGGTTCTCTGTAAAGAATGGAAATATTTTCCATAACGTTATCTTTTCTAAGAGGTCTTCTTTTTAAGCATATGGATTGCGGTTCCTCCGTGAAATGGTATTTGAATTCAGCAACGTCTGGTTGGCTGGTCAAAAATTCAATTTGCTTTACTTTACTTATCATAAATTTTTCGCCGCTCTTATCTTTCGTCCAGTTTTCAGTTTGAACAATATTGCTGAAACTGTAGAAATCATTTTGGGACATTTCCTTCACATCATAGGGTTGTCCAGTTACCTTGGCCATTTTAATTAACATGATCCATTGTGCTGGAGTAAAAATATTGGATTAGCGTTTTTTGGCACTTTCTATGGTAGCATGCATGCTGTCGCCTTCATTTTGAGTGTGGCCCCTTTCTAGAAAACGATGCAAAATTTGTACCTTAAGAGTTTTCGAAGCGTGAGCGAACATACTGAAGACAAATCTGTTCCTGTTCTGACCTCCACAGTTGTCCGAATAAAATACAATTTTTTTACCCCATTTCCAGTTTGCTTTTTTATAAAATTAAGCAAACAACTTGATATTTCATTCGGTCCTCTTCTTGCTATGGATTCGTTCCAAACATAACAATGACCTTTGTTATTTCCCAGATCATAGATGGTAAAATTGTACGTGGCTAATTTGCTTTTGTAGTAAAAACTACTTATTTCACATGCAGGGGTGATGAGAACTTTTTGTAAATCAAAGCAAGCAACACAAATGGTTTTATCCTCTACGGCTTGTAGTTTGTCATTATCTTTTAGATTTCGGACTTCTTCCTTATTTTGAATATGTTGTTGATATTCACTTTCCAACTCCTTCTTCTCGTTATCACTAGCCATGGCATACACCACACAGCGATCACATTGATCTTTCTTGGGCTTGAAAAATCCAATGTTGAGTTCGGTGTTAAATATTTCTCGGTATAGTCGCATAGTTGCCACTTGTTGCCCGGAATGTTCTTCTTGCATATAAGTTAAATACATTCTATGCATTTTGCAAATATTAAGTCCGTCTTCCAAATACATTTTATTTGAATTTTTTCGTATATAGTGTGATGGTACCACTGGGAACATGTTTACGTGGTCTCTTACACTATCCCGTAAGTTTTCGTTTAACTTTTGTGGTCTGTTTTCATGCTTTCCCCTAGTGTCTTCTTTTACCATACTAGTCTCTTCTATTGTACTTAGTGCTGTTGTTACCCACTGTTCCGAAATTCCGTGCGTATTTAAAAACATTTTTTTACATTTCTGCACCTTTTTTCCCGCAATAAAAAAGTTATATTTTCTGCTAAAATTTCTTCTTGATATACCCCTTTTACTCACTTTTTTATCTTCCAAAGTCACCAATTTTGCTATGTATTCCCATTGTTTGGTGTGATTAGCTATTTTCCAAAATAAATCAAATATTTCCATTCTCTTTTCTTCAGTTACCCTTGTAGTGCATTTAGATCTACAACTCTCTGGGCAAGGATTCTTCCGTGCAGGTATTAATTTCTCTTTTCTATTTCTGTGTTCTCGTCCTGAATTTAATTCCTTTTTAGCTTTAACGTCAATCCATTCACTTTCGTTTCGTACTCGTTTCCTACATTGTTTTTCTTTTGGTTGCATTTTCCGCTTTCTTCTGGTAGTTGTTTCAGCAGGGGTTTGTTGAATTCTCGCTTGAATTGAAAGCTTTTGCTGTGAATTTTTTTTTTTTTGATGTTAGATAATGGTAGTTCATCTTCGTCTGACTCTGACAGTACATCAGATTCTGCCACATAGTTGGGATCCACAATTGAATCATCACAATCTTCTTCAAATGTGTAATCTGTCTGCAAAACAGCATCTGCAGCATCTGAAAAAATGTTGTTTTGTTTGGTATAAGGTCTAAATTTATTTTGTTTGTAACATTCATGTCTGGAAGACTTACTTACCAGGCCTTTGCAAGATATTACTACAGTGAAGATAACCTGATGGTCCAGGATTATCTTGGGGTGAGCTTAGGCATTCCAAGTTATCAGGCCTTTCTAAAAGAAACAATAATAAGTAATTCAAAATAAAGAAACATAATATCAACTTACCAGGCTTCTGCAAGATATTATTACTATAGTTAAAATCACCCGATGGTCCAGGATTATCTTGGGGTGAGCTCTGGGGTTCCAAGTACCCAGGACTTTCTAAAAGTAAGTAAATAATTTAAAATAAAGCCGATGCAAAGCCTATTTTCTGTAAACAATAAAATAATAATGTAGTCTACCTGGTCTCTGTAACCCACATAACAAAATTGCATCCTTAGAATGTATTAAGAATGTTCTTTTTTTAGGAGGAATGTGCCCAGAATGTTCGCCAAAACCATTCCGAATGTCCTGAGAATGTTCTGAGAAAAGATTGTAGAAATACTGTTTGCAATACCCAAGAACTTCCTGAGAAATCCATTAGGATATTCCTAGAATATACCTATGAGATTCTCAGTACATCCTGAAAAGAATATTCTTGTTGGATTCTAAAAATATGCTCGATATGTATAAGTATTCTCACATTCAAAGAATGTTTCTATGACATTATAGTTATGTTCTCAAAAGAATATTATACCAATATGCTTGAAATATTCTTAGAATATATCTACATATATCATTCTCAATATGAATCCTAGACATAACATTCTTGGTTGATTCTTAGGATATACTTGGAATGTTAATTTTCGCTTCCAAATAATGCTCCTTTCGGCGCTTTTATATTGAAGGCAGTGAAAGAGTTGTTGGAAAACTTCTCTGGAAAACACAAGTATTTAAACAAAGCTCCGGTTTCGAGCTTGTTATGCTCTCGTCGAAGCACGCCAACTGAGAGAAACAGGTTCCAAGGTGATTCAAACGCGAGGTAAGATGTAGATCTTTAATAGCGCGTGGCTCCCTCTCTTGGAAGTCCTACAAAGCAAAAGGAAAAGAATATACCTATAATATTCTTAGTAGGTTCTAGATAGAGCATTATTGTTTAATTGTTAAATTATGATTTTTCAGTAGGTACTTCAGATAATTAGATGAACAATATGAAAATATTCTTATCATAATTACCTACCTACATAAACTTCTCAGCACAACTTGGTAGGTATATTCTTAATACTTGATAGAGATATTAGCCGAAAGAAATTTTTTTAGGGTACATTATAATAATGTTCGTATGACAATATTCAAAGATTGTTATATAAAGTAGGTTCTTAGCACAATCTTTCAGGTAGGTGCATAGAAGCAACATTCCTAGTACATAAATAGAACGTACAAAAATGAATATTCCAATCGAAACAATCTTAGAATATTCATCAAACATTCCTAAAAGAACATTCCAAAAGCACTTTGAGGAAATATTCTGAGAATATGAATGTTCTTTCACTGTTATGTGGGAAGTTGTTACATTCTAACTCATTTTGTCCAGAATTCTCGACAATTTGCTCAGATGATTTCAACAGTTCCAATATTTTTTTTGTCCTCGCACTCATGATAATAATTATTACATTTTTAAAACGAAATAAATGTACACAACACTGACAACTTAACCTTAAAATCGGTTATAAAACTATTGTAAGTCGAAGCTTCCGGTAATTTACATGGATTACTATAGCAACACGACATGCTATAGTTTTCGAGGAAATTGAGAAATTGGTGAAGTAAAGTATCCCGGGATACTATAGTATTCGTAGTATTCTTCGGCCAAAAATGAGTTACTATATTTTATGGTAGTATTTCTGGTTGCCTAACCTTTTCGTTTAGACATACTATACTTTTCCAGGTCAAAGCTTTTGGTAAATATATAGGTACGCTGCATAATGGTAACTGGAAAACCCCCAAAAATGAGTTACTATAGTCTTCGTTGCATGAGTCGATTTATAGTGTAAAGAAAACATTGCAGAACGTGGGACACTACACGGAAGTCATCTGTCAGCGAAGGCAACCACTGACGCTGAAATCGAACATTTCTTGAAGTGTGCTTCAATACAGAGTTTGCAACAATCACGACATCAGCGCTGAAATCAAACTTCGAGTCTACAATACATTTGTAATAACAACACTTGCATAAATAACTGCGAAACATGGACCACCTACAGAAAACACATAAAAAGCCTAGAAAAATACCACCAGTGATGCCTAAGAAGGATCCTACGGATTGAATGGCAAGACCAACGAACGAAGATTAGTGTTTTAGAGGAGGCCAAAGGCCAACCCAACTAACTTGGAAGCCCTTATCATCAAGCACTAACTTCGCTTGACAGGTCACAGGTAACCTCATTCGCATGTCCGAAACACGTCTTCCACGACAGATTCTCTACAGTCAGCTGAAAGATGGAAAACGGAATCAAGGAGGTCAACAAAAACGCTACAAAGATGTTCTAAAGGGAATTTTGGCAAAATGCCACATCGATATCAGCAACTGGGAGGCGAAGACAAATGATAGGCCCTCGTGGAGTCGAGTAGTCCACGATGGACCATAAACTTTTGGAGAACAGCGATGCAGACACGAGACCGAAAAGAGGGAACGCAGGAAGGAGCGAGAGATCAGAGGAAGAGACAATGCTGTCAGAGACTAGGTGGGCCAAGTCTGTGTAACTTGTGGAAGAGTGTGCGGCTCCAGAATTGGTTTATATAGCCATAAGAATACGCACAATCGCCGAAGAATAGAGTAGAAGATAATCATACTCGGTATCGAGTGATTGCCTATGATGATGATGATGATGATTCAACATGCCCAATAAATTTGAGGATTTTTTCACAGTTTAGCTCGGGTTAACTTGAACCGAATCCATAATGAATATTCTTGTTCATGCAACGGAGCCTAGGATAATGCATTCATACGTTAAGCCAATGAAACCGCATACATTAAATAGATTATACAACTCACTATATATTATTCTCATATGACACGAGAGGCTTAAAAAGTGATAAGCCTTTTGGGATTATCGCGCTTGGTGGCATTTATAGCAAATTCTATTATAGACATTTTTTTTAAAATTTTTGAGTATTAAATTTTAGTTCGTTGTATAACCTTTTGAATACCACTCGATGTTCCAGGATTACCTAATACTCTTACCTGACACTCAACGCGTTACCAGCAACACCACTCCTCCTTCGGAGTCGTGGTGTTGCTGCGTAACGCGTTTCGTGACAGGTAAAATTATTATCCGGTAGTCCTGAAACCTCTTGTGGCATTACATTCGAAAATTCGATTCATTAAACCAATGTTATTTGTACATTATATTGAAGAAGTTATTTCACTCTGGCAACGAATTCTATACGCAAAATGATAGAATCCCTACTCTGCGACAATGAATTCAACCGTTAAATCGATGAACCTTTTTTTTCATTTATTTAACGAACAGCTTTTCATAATATTAACAAATTCGTTCACCGGCTCAATATTAATGACGAGACTCACTGGCTTAATGCACTTTTTCGTTATATTTGTGTACCTTTTTTTTTTCATTGTATGTATAGGCCGAAAGTCCAATATCGACACTTTCACCTGGCTTAGAATAGAATAAAAAAACAAATGCAGTCAGGTATAGAGGAGACTGAGGAGAGCAATTGTGGCGGCAAGATCTGCTTTTCTGCACTGACAAAAAACTCATAAATAAGATTACATATGAACCCTCTTAGGTAGGAACAATCATGCAGTTATCTTGACCAAAATACAGGTACAGTTAAGAATAAGCAACACGGAATTTTTACAACGCAGATTATTATGATGAAATTAATGACTACATCGCATCTACATTCACTGGAACTAGTTTACAAGCTTCAGTGCAAAATATTGAAGAAGTGTTGAAGAAAACAATAGACACATTCCTTTAGGAGTCTCACGTAAAAATCACCAAGTCATGGCTAAACTGAAGCATCATTATAAAATTAGACAAAAAAGACACCTGTGGGATGAATACAGAGCCACTAATCTGGGGGCAGACTATCTGACGTACAGGCAACAGAAAACAAGCTAAAATCCCAAATATTCAAAGCACGCAGTCAGTACGAAGTGGAGGAAAATCTTTTCTACAAGTACATAAAGAGAACTTTGACAAGTCACGCACTGGATATACAGTTGACGGATCCTAACACAGAAAGCCTTGTTACGGATTCGGCTGTGGTTGCGGAGCTCTTAGCAGAACAGTTCCAAACAGTACATGCAAAGGAAAAACAGGAAAACTTTCCCATTTTGCCAAATGATCTCAAGACAGGCGAAATGTTCTACAGGATTGACATCACTGCGAAGTTAGTCGTAGAAGCAATCAACAATATGATAAAATTATTTTCAAAAATTGTCTAACCAGCATCAAAAGACACTTAACATTTACATTCAACAATACTTCAGCACATGCGCTTCTGTTCACATGCTACATTGCATACCTTAGAGAAGAATTACAAACTCAAAGTCAGTCCTTTGCTGGCGACCGAAAGGTTAGGAAGGTGTACTGCAATCCTATGGCGGATCTAAACATAAGAACATAAGAAGCCTTGACACAAGTCTGGCTAATGAAACTAAACCCTGACAAGTGTACTATTCTCCGCATTAGAATAAATAAAACGCATAATAAATACAGCATCAACAACAGTGAGATTTCAGAAGCCATAATAACGGAAAACCTAAAATGGAAAACATACAGTTCAAATGGTGAAAAAAGCAAACCCTCTGATATACCTTACTGGGAGAGCTTTTAGCGAGAAGCCTAAGGAATTCATAAGAAAATTCTATGTCTCCTTCATCCGCCCAAAACTGGAGTACTGTCACAGAAGATGGAACCCATACTTTATCAAAAATATATAGTTACTAGAAAGTATCTACTCAGAAAAGATGCACCAAAATCCCAAATTAAAATCTAGGACACTCTCTATGAAGACAGCTAAGGGATGTTTAATCTACCAACCCTAAAGGATAGAAGAGAGAAAGGAGACCTCATTATTGAACCCTTTAAAATCATTCATGTCAGCTACGATACAGCCCTAAATGACCTTCACTCTACCAAATACTAACATGACAAGAGCCAAGGGGACACTCTAAAAAGATAAAATCAGAAAAATGCAATCTCCTTTAAAGAAAACACTTTCTCACGAACCGAGATGTTAACAGATGGAACGATATCCTGGAAAATATCGTGCATGCGAAAACATATTCAAAAACACACTTGCCAAGCATA